CACTGATGTCCATTTTATTTACAAGGAAAGTGAGGCTCAAAGGGTTCAGAGACTTGGCATGCAGAAGTGCAGCTGACTTTGCAGTGGGCCTGCATGAGCCTCAGAACCTCCAGGTCCTAGAGGGAAGCCAGCCTTACCCTGTAATCCCACAGGAGGGTGGTCTGCTGCCTCAGGAGCTTAGAGTGGGAGCAGTGTAGGAGCAGGAGCTGGGCTGGGTGGCCAAGGCATTCAGGGAGGGCTTGGGGAGAGGAAAGGCAGCAGGCAGGAGGCTTCTGCTGTCCCAGGTCCAAAGGGCCCTGGAGATGTGGAGAACGGGGAGAGGCATGGGGGAGCCAGGCAGCTTGAAGGTATCACTGGCTCCTGTCTTGTGGTGCCCATACAGGCTGGGGCCCTGGAGATGGACAGGCGGGACTGCCTGGGGGACTCTGTGTAGTGTGCTTCTCTCACTCATCTGTTGATTGTTCACCCATTCAGCCGCTAGTGGATGGGGAAAAGGGGCCCATCATGTACTGGACATCGATAGAAGTGAGTTTGGAGTTCAGGGTTCGCAGCAACAGAGAGGCAAGAGCCATTTTGAGGAATGGGTAGGAAGGGGAAGAAGGTAGTGGAAAAGGTGACCCTGAAAGATGTTAGGTTTCTGCCTAGTAGACAAGATGGCAGGAGTCTATAGCCAGAGGCCCTGTGTGAACAGGGGCAGAACAGCCTGTCCTGGGTTAAGTTCTGGAAAGTGCCTCCCAGAGCGAGGACTGTGGAGGCTTGAAAGTGGCTGCTTCTCCCCAGACAGTGAGCCTGGGGCCTCCCCGGCTTTCCTCACCCAGCCCTTCTCCCAGGTCCACCACATCAATGCCAACTACTTTCTGGACATCACCTCCATGAAGCCTGAGGACATCAAAGACAACATCTTCAGCTTCTCATCCACCTTTGAAGACCCATCCACAGCCACCTACATGCAGTTCCTGAAGGAGGGACTTCAGCGCGGCCTGCCTCTACTTGAGTCCTAGTGTGTTGCCTCAGTGGGCCTCAGCTGTCTCAGACTGGAGAAGCTCCTAGCCCTCCTCACCCTAGGCTGCCTCTCAGGGCCTGAGGTCAACTGAGGGTGGCCATCCAGCTCTGCCTCGGTGATGAGGGTTAGACAGGAGGGGCTTAGACACACAGGATGAACCGTGAGCTCTGTGGCCCCCCAGTCTTTCCCTACCCAGCTGGCTCAAGAAGTTACTCAAGATCCTCCAAGACAGGGTCACCCTTCTTTCCTGGCTTTAATTCTTTCCAGAAGGAAACATGAAGGAGCCGGGGGCAGCGGGGGAGGCAGGCAGCTTTCCTGTCTACACAGAGCTGTCCTTGCTAGCCACACCCCAGCTGCCCTCCTCTGTCTGATATCCCCAGCCTGGGTCCATCTCAGCAGGTGACAGCCTTCTGTGTGCAGAGCCCCTGCCGGTGTGGAACACTGCTGTACTTCAGCTGCTCCCAGTGGCTCAGTGGGCCTTGTGCAGGCCCCCAAACCTGTTTCAGGGCCTGGGAAGTTTCCTGGGAAGTAGGCCTCTGCCATTAGGAAGGACCCACTGAGGGTTGCTAAGGCCCAGGGCCAGGGTACTCCTACTGCCTGCCCAAGCAGAGATCATTGCAGGACTGTGGGAGCCAGGGCGTCCTGACACCTCAGTCCCTGACTCCATGGAAGTACAGCCCAGCCAAAGAACAGGCTGCACCAGAGCCAGCACTGCCCCTGCCACCAGGGGTACCCCAGACCAGCCTCTCTACTGTGGGGCACCTACCAACTCTCCTTGGCCACTCTTGGGGCCTTTGTTCACATCCTGAGCCACTGACCATGGCCAGTCTCTTTTTTATACATCCAAAAAAGTGTTTTTATTTGAACTTTCTCACAGTTTGTAGGTATTTTTTATAACCACAGTGCTGAGGAGAAAGAAGAGAGCAAGGCTCCCTGAGCAGCAGCCCCATGATGGCTGGATCTGAAATCCTAGATGGATCCAGCTTGATGCCTTTGCAGTTGCACATAGGGGAAGCAGTATTCTCTCTTACATCTCCTCTTCTAGATTTTTAAAAACAGTCTTCAGAGAATGAGTGTACTGAACCCCCAGCTCTATCCTGTCCATGCAGCCTCAGAAGGTATCTTTGGGCTTTTCTCATGAAGGCCTTGAAGTCAGCCTGTTCTTCACATGCCTAACTCTTCCCCACCCCCTCATCCCAGCAGGGGCTCCATCTTAAACCTGACAGAGGAAGAAGGCAGACCTGTCCCTGCATCTGCTGAGTCCTGCCACCCTGGGTGTCCCCATGTGGAGCCTGCCTTAGCCAGTCCTCTTCTTCATTGGGTACTAGGTGTAACAATAGCAGCAGGTTACCAAGAGCCTTCTGTGCCTGGGTCACTGCTAAAATTACAGGTGGTTTCTTATTTAATCCTCACAACAAACTTGTGAGGTAGGTGACCATTCCCATTTTGCAGATGAAGAAATGAGTCTTACGGAAGCAAAGTGACCAAGTTCACGCAGAGTGGTAGAGTTGAGACTCAGACCCATATATAACTCCCAAGCCTGTGTCTTGACCTTGGGGTGTTTCATTTGGCACCACACCCCCACTTCTTCCCCTACCTGTTTGCGCCGAGGTGAAAATCATGCCTCATTTCCCTTTGAGGTCCAGACTGGGCCTGAAGCATGAGCTCAGCCATGTTCTTTGAGTCCTCCTGGGAGATGGTACTTCCTGCCCTTACAGGGAAGGAGGGCACCTGAGTCTGCCTTAGTACCTCCACCAGCTTTAGCTGGGCCTCTGCCCTCCATTCTGCTGCTCCCAGAGGGAGGGCTGATTCCACGTCAATCAAGCCTGGGCTCAGGTAAAGCTCCGACTACTTGAGCTTTCTGAATCTTCTTCATCTGATGCCTCCGCCCCTCCCCAGCCAGGGAAGAGTCCCCAACTGCACTTTTGTCACCTCTTTTCCACTTGCCTCCCTCACCCTAACATGTCCTGTAATAAAATTGGAGAGACTAGGGTGGCTTTCAATGTTTTTCCTTTGAAAAGTTTGAAAAGTGTTCCTTCCTTGGCCTGACTTCCTACCCTTTTGTGACTGGCTTGGCAGTTGGGCAGAGGAGTGGCAGGGGCAGATTTGGGCTGGAGTGTCTTCAGGAACTATCTTGTCTGTCACCAGGAGACTTGAGTGACTTGCCTAAAATAAGTTTGTGACAGACCAAGTGGTAGAATTTATTCTTTTGAGAATCTGGTGCTCTTGTTTTAAGAAAGATCCAGAAGTTAAGCCCATTGTCTTAGAAGCAGAGCTTCAGAGAAAGGTCCTGAGTTCGATCCCTGGCACCAAAAAAAAAAAAAAAAACTTGAGAGAAGCATTGGTGATCTTTGAGATGTGTACTTTAGGAAATATTTGTAAAAGAAGTGTTGAAGCAGAAGAGGGAAAGGAAATACACTGAGCAGGTCCTGAGTTCGATCCCTGGCACAAAAAAAAAAAAAAAAAACTTGAGAGAAGCATTGGTGATCTTTGAGATGTGTACTTTAGGAAATATTTGTAAAAGAAGTGTTGAAGCAGAAGAGGGAAAGGAAATACACTGAGCAGGAACCAAGTTGGGAGGGATTCTGGAGCATAAACCACACTACAATCAGACTAGCCTTTTGTACCTTTTATCTGTCAATGACTTGGGGAAGTAAAGAAAATTCCCTGGGTGAGGAGGCTCCATTCTCCTCCTTGTAAGGAGACTTGGATGGAACAGCAGAACAACATCTATACCCAGGAGAGTGAATTTGCATGCTCTGCTATTGCCCAGGAGGGGGAAGTGATGATTGAAGCACAGTTTGCCCTCCCAGAAAGAGCTGGACCTGGAAATCAACCCTCAACATTTGAATATGGTGGGGATGGAAATGAAAGGCTTAACCTCTAGGTCTCTGGCTAAGACCAGTTACCTAACTTGTGGGGCCCAGTAATATGAAAGGCCCTTGGCTTTTTGGTTTTTTTTTTTAATTATAATAGACTTTTGGTCAGTGTTGGACCACCTATATGACATGGTTCCCTAAGATTATATTGGAGCTGAAAATTTATCTCCTAGTACTTTTACTGTACCTTTTCTGTTTAGATGTACAAATACCACTGCTATAAATGCCCACAGTATTCTGTACCATAACAAACTGTACAGGCTTGTAGTCTGGAGCAATAGATGGATAGTAAGCTATACCATCTTAAGTTTGTGTGAGTGTACTCTGTGATGTTCATGCAGCAGTATCAACTGAGGATGCATTTTTCAGAGTATATTGCTGTTATGAAGCAATGTATGACTGTAATTTAGAGGGGAGCAGCAGGGCAGTAAACCAAGTGTGGGATTTTGGGCATAGGGCCTGTCGTGACTACACAGACTGTTCGTCTATGATGCCAGCCCTATCCCTGGCAGATAAGGACTGCAGCCTGGGAGCCAGGCAAGCCATGTGCTGAGGATAGAGGAGGAAATGTGGCCCAGAAATGCTATGAAGACAGGACGGTGAAAGTTTGAGCACAGACAGGGAGTGGGCTTGTGAATGTGGAAAAAGGAATGTGGATCTCACCCAGTGCCATCCTACCCTCTAATCAACAAACAATATACCGTGGGTTGGGGGGTGGAGAGACAAAGGCTAAAATAAAAGAAAGCTGCGAAGCGCTGGAAGGCATGAGTCAAATAGTCTTGCAGGAGAGACACTCGTAGAGAGCTATGGTTGGGAGGCAGGACTGGAGGGAACCAGGGAGAGACAGGCGACGTAAAGGCCAGATCCGGAGAAGGGTCAGTATATATTTGCATAGGAGTGGAGACAGCACCCCTATTTTGTGGCTGAGCAGCAATACAAGCGTCAGCTTCCGGGAGAGCAACAAGGGAGCATAATGCGCTGAGGTCTCCAGGAACCTTCAGTGCACTTTCTCCAGGCACGCCGACTCCAAGAGGGCGTGTCCTTCAGCCCCGCCCCCGAGTCGGGCCCGCCTCCCAGGGTGCAGGGGGCGCGGCTCGGTGCGCAGCCGCAGACAATCGCTTCCGGGGAGGGGCGGGTCAGCGGAAGTGAGGGCAGCGGAGGCTGGGCTGCCCCTTGTGGTAGGAGGGGCTGTGAGGTGAGCGAGTCCGGGAGCCGGAGTCTGAGGTGAGACAGGTCCAAGGGCCTTCGGGGAGGCGGGAGCGCGGTTTTCGCGCCCGGCCGTACGCTGAGCTCGTTGCGCAGCTCTGTGCGGAGTCCGCGGTGCCTGTCCCCGCGCGAGTTCTCGCGGGACCCCCTGTTGTCATTATCACTTGGCCGGGGAAACTGAGTCGAGGGGGAGCTTCTCGCCCGAGTCACCCGGCGAGTAGGGACCGGCACACACTAGACGTTTCTCGCGGTGGCCGCGCTCCGCGACAGGTTGCCCTGCCGCCTCCTCGCCGAAACCGGCCTCGGCCCTGGGGCTCCCGCGCACCCCAGCCCTGGGCCTGTGGGTTCAAAGGGCAGCTGGCAGGCAGCTGGGACTTGGCCGACCTTGGCCCGGGTCGGGTCGGCGTTGCGGGGGAGGGGTCGCCTGAGGTCCCCACGGGGATTGACCGTCGCAGACGGCTCGCGCAGACGCCGCTCGCGGGTGCGCTCGTAAAGTTTCGCTGAGCGCCGCGGCCTCGGCGGGGCGCCGGGCTCAGGGCGGCGGAGACTAGGTCCCGCTCCGGAGCACCTGGCGTCTCCCAAGGAGACAGCGCGCGAGCACGTCGAACTGCCGCTGCAGAAGGGCCAGGGCAGCGCGGAGCTGCTGAAAGAACCAGGAGCCTTCTCCTACAGTGACACGTGGGGCGGGGTTTCGGAGCGAAGTTGGTGTTCATTCCTTCCTGAGTTCCGCGAATGTCAAGCGCAGACTGTGGCCGGTCGGCACCGTGCTGTGCGCGGGGGAAGTCTGGGGCCTCCTGATGGAGCACGCGTTAAGGAGTTACTTAGTTTCTATTTTGAGCGGCCTCGGAAGGGGAGACAGCTAGCGTGCTGGGGGTGAAGAGGACCCGACCCCGTCGCGGGGTGGGTGTGTGTGTGTGCGCTTGAACAGAGCTCTGATGAGGAAGGAAGAATGAGCTTGGTGCAGGGGTGCCGGTGTTTCGGGCAGACAGTAATGAGATGGTGCTGCAGGCTGGTAGCAGGACAGCGTGGCCACAGGGCAGAGGGCAAAGAAGAGGCAGCATGGATGCGAAGCCTAACTGTAGGCCTTGTTTGTGGGAGCTTGGTCTAGAGAGGGCAGGGAAGATGGGGTTGGGCCATGGTGGAGAGTTCCCTGGCCCACGCTCAGAAGTCCAGATTTTATCCTGTTGGCCCTAGCAAGCTAGTTTTACTTTTAAACACAGGAGCTATATGATTAGCTGTGTTTTGCAGAGATACCTCTGGCGGTCCACAGAGGGTTAGGCCCCCTTGAGTCTTTGGGAGGCAGAGAGTGGCCTAATAGCACTGTTAAGTGAACTTATCATAGGCACTGACATTCAGCACAGAGCCTGGCACACTGGGAAACTTTGATAAAGGGCTTGAAGTGAATTGAAAAGATGGAGCCTGTGTCAGAGGCAGCAGAATCTGGACCTGGCTTTTGGTGCTTTCTTTACTGCATGACCACTGAGTGACCTTAGACAGATCCTTCTCTCCCGCTTTCTTTCCCTTTCACAAAATGACCCCTCCTCTCCCAAGGTAGACAAGGAACACTCCAAGGGAGATCTCCAGAGAGCTGTCAGTCCAGTCTCAGGCTCCCCAACGACTTTTCACCCAGGCATTCCTTGCTTGCTTGAGTTGATTCCCCAGTACGCCTTTGCCTGCTTTTGCAGCCTTATAATCTGCCCTTTTACAGATCCCTCACCTTCCTGTACTGATGCTGCTGTTCTCTTGGCTTCTTGCTCCCTCAGAACTCAGCATGGGGCCAGGGCATTGAACTTACTGTGCCACCTGCCTGGTGTGCCTTATTCTCAGCCTTCCTTAGAATAAAGTGTCCAGGTGCTGCCTCTCTGCTGGACTGTGAGTTCCTTGAAAGCATGACTGTCTTATTCTTTTCATAACCCCTACAGTACCCAGCACAAGGCCTAGCTCTAATGGGTATTGTTGGCATTTGATGAACAAGGGTATGCATGAGCTCACTGACTGCATTTGCTCACTGTGCAAGAACAGCTGTGAAGAGCGCAGTCAGGAGTGACTCCACCCATCTGTCATGTTTTAAAGTTCATTAAGCACCTTAAAATACCCTGTTTCACTGACCCTTGAGGTAACCTAGAGAGGCAGTTTTTCCTGCCTCCTTTTTATAGATGGAGAAACCAAAGTTCAGAAAGGATACATGACACTTGCCTATGGCCACAAAAGGCAGTAGGAAACTAAGCCAGGGGAGAGGGTGGGAAATTGGCTCTTGTAGCCCAGTAGTCTGAGATTGGCATGACCTGGGTATTGCTAGGTTGGGTGGCAATTACTGTGCTTTTTGTTGTTGTTGTTTTTGGTACCAGGGATCGAACTTGGGTCCTTGCATTTTCGAGGCAGGCAGTGGAACCACTGAGCTAAATCCTCGGTCCAATTACTGTGCTTTTGTGTTTCATGTTCAAGAAGGAATACTGGGCTTGGATGGTACCTTCAGATGAGCGCTCCCCTGAGCTTTGTAGCTACCAAGAGGTCTCTCAGTTCCTCTCCCTCTCCCCTACCTCCTGCTTTTTTGCAGTACTGCCTAGGAACCCAAGAGATTCACATTAGGCAGCATCTCTAGCCTTTTTTGTTTATTTTGAAACAGGATCTCAGCAAATTGTCCAAGATAGGCTGTAACTTTCAATCCTCCTGCCTCAGCTTCACAGGGTGCTGGGATTACAGACATGCACCACCGTACCTTGCTGTTTTTGAAGTTTTGCCTCAGGAAACCTTAGAGCCCCGAAAGTCTCCTTGGGTTGGCCAAGCTCACGAAGTCTAGAAAAAACATAACTTAGAGAAGTCAATGTTGAGGGCAGCCTTTTGGGCTAGTTTCCTCCCCTATGAAACATCAGAGGTCTCGACTGTCTCCTGGGCCTGGTTTTGTGGGGCTTGTGTGCTGGCCACTGAGTCCCCACAGTGGGGGTTGTTTCACAGGAGGGGGAATTTGGTGTTCCTCAAGATGGCCTGATATGAAGAGGTCCCACCTCCGGCCTCCTCAAGGTGCGCTGAGGCTGCCTTGTCCTTCAAGTGCAGGAGCTGGTTGAAGTATCAGGAATGGAAGCCAATGTGGTAAGGGGTATTCCCAGGGCTGGGATAAGGAGGGTGGGATCATTGAGCACTGGGCCTACTGAAGTGCTCAAAAGGCCCTAAGCCTCCAGTTAATTCTTCCGTTACTCTGGAATCCTGAAATTGGAGCAAGGCTGTCCTCCCACATCCTGTCCCAGAAAGATCGTATGATCTTGGGAACAGTTCAGAAGTCAGTGTGTTTCTGCCTTTTGTGCAGAGGAAAGCCCCAATGGTCCCAACAAGCAGCTAACTGCTAGCCTTTCACTGGGCCTTCCTTAGCAGCAGCAGATGTCTCCAGGGTGAAGGTTGGCAACTGGAGAACCTGCCTTGACTCATAATTGAGACTTGATTTATTCCCAGAGGGGGCCCTGTCCCTGGGAGTGAGGAATTCATTCTCCTTGCTGTAGAGGAGAGCACAGGAACAGTAGTTGGAGTCATTGTCCCTGAAGATGTCGTCGTCTCTCTTTGCTCTAGACTATTCCAATCTGGCAAAACAAGCCACATGGAGCTGCTCGAAGTGTAGTGAGAAGAATTGGGACCAATCTACCCCTGAAGCCATGTCCCCGAGCATCCTTTGAGGTGAGTGTGCTGGAAAAGCAAAGAAAAGTAGGAGCTCAAGAGCATAGGAGGCCAGTGCTGCTTCTGTGCCTCTGACCTCTTGGCATTTGCCAGTGCTGCCTGCTTTCCTGGTCACTTTTTCATTTTGTCAAGAAGGATTTACTAAGTGCTTATAATAGATCCTGGCAACCATTCCTTCCTGGTTGCACACAAAGCTGTGACCACAACAGTCACACTTCCAGTTTGTTCATAAATTAATAATCTTGTATCTCATTTTTGTTTCTTCTGTTAAGTGGCTGTGCTCTGAGGTGTTTGCCTGCAACCTGGCAGGTCCCCACATGGACATTGAGTGCTGTGATTCTTGAGTTGAACCCTGCTTTTCTCACTAACCCTATGACTTGGCCACTTAGCCACTATTTTTAGTGTTTTGCTGGGGCCTCAAGCCCCCTTCTTTTGGCCAAGTATGGCCACTCCTTACTGAGCTATTTCAGTCTTACCTCTGGAACCAAGGAGCAGAGATTCCTGTGTGGTCCAGGTCTGTGAGACCCACTTTTGTAGTAGAAAACTGCAGCTGCCCAGCTACCTTCCTGTAGGAACTCGTGAAGCCTCAGCTCCAGGCTAAATGATTAGGGTGTGTTGAGTTTGGGAAGCTGGGACATAAAATACTTTTCTAAAGAAAAGAGACAAATATATGAAAAGACATCAGCCCATAGAAACAGCAGTGAAGGAGCTGAGTTTATATACAAGAGGCTAACTGCAAATTTTTAAGGGACTGGAACTGGAGTTTGAAGTGTTATCAGGGTTGGTATTAGAGTCAGGAATGGAGTTGGAAGTGTATGTCAGTGGAGGGCTGTCCCATAACCTAGATTGCCAACTATTCAGAATTGCTTAAAGAGCATGGGCAGGTTGGGGCCTTAAACCTCAGAAGCATCAGAAACAAAGGGAGGTACAGCCAGGTGTGACTGACTCCATGAAATTTGCCCCCTCACTTGACTGTACACTGTCCAGTCTAGTTTGTTGGATAGACAAACTAGATGCTTCTGGATAGACAATCAAGGACACAAGCTTCCTCAGAGCAGGAGTATGTGTGAGTAGTATTAATACTAGCTGACATTTTCTAATGACATACTATGTATTAGGCATTGTGCTAAGTATTTATCTGTGTTAACTAATTTAATTTATAAGAGCAGCGGAACAGTCAAAGCTAATCCAGGAAAGCAAATGGAAGCTTCCCTGAAATGGCCCATCTTAGCAGTAACTCCTGGGTCAGTGGAAATCCTCCTCCAGGTGACGGTGACTATCACTTAACTCCTCTGAGTCCTAGGTTCCTTATCAACCCCTGACCCACCTCCCAGTCTGTAGCAGAAACATTTGCATTTAACTCATGTATAGATGTATTTTTTATTAACTATTCCTAGATTTTTGTTATAAATATTTAATAAAATCTTACCAATTTATTCTTTAAAGTTTACCATGTATTAAACTATGGAGAATAAAATGGAAAATAAATTACCTATAATCACAGTCCTGACACAGTAACTATTAATGTTTTCATGCAGATCCTGTTTTTCTAGATACGTGTTTTTTATCACAGTCAGCATGTGATTGAATCCTTCTAATTTCAGTTAACATGGTATTATTTACTCAGTTGCTCTGTTCCTTGGTGGTTGTTCTTTGGGTTGAGGAGCTATTTTAAGAAATTGCACTATGGTTGTTTTTGTATAATTAATTTCTTATTTTTTAAATCTAAATATTCAGATTACTGGGTTTGCTTAAAACAACAGTGCTGTGGGCCAGAGATGTAGCTCATTGGTGCTGTGCCTGCTTGGCAAGCAAAAGGCCCTGAGTTCGATTCCCAGTACTGGCTGGGGGTTACAGTGCTATAACAATGTAGATTTCAATTAGTTATAGGATTCAATCCCCAGCTCCAGCAAACAACCAACCAACCCAATTAACTAAAAGGGTGTAAGAGTTAGCCAGGAAAAATTTCTTGTTGATATAACAAGTTTTTGATGACTTATATTCTCATAACCAAAGGGCAAAATGGTTTTAGACAGTAGCCATCTCTATTAAAAGGTAACACAGATCAGTTTCAGAAGACCTCAGTAAATATGGAATTTGCTTCCCCACAGACCCTGCCCAACATTTCTGACCTGTGTTTGAGAGATGTGCCCCCAGTCCCTACTCTGGCTGACATTGCCTGGATTGCTGCAGATGAAGAGGAGACATATGCCCGGGTCAGGTAGCTAAGGCAGTAGCCAGTTTACTAGGGGTAGGGAACTTCTTCCCAGAAGTGGCAAGCAGCAAGAAAGGTGCTTGTGAGAGGCAATCAGAATGAGAGCTATAGACTGGTGGGGGTGGGGGGCCAGTGGGTTGCTGTCTGTGATGGACATACTTGTCTTTCTCTGGATCAGGAGTGATACACGCCCCCTGAGGCATACCTGGAAGCCCAGCCCTCTGATTGTCATGCAGCGCAATGCCTCGGTGCCCAACCTTCGTGGGTCTGAGGAGAGGCTTCTGGCCCTAAAGAAGCCAGCCTTGCCAGCCTTAAGCCGTACCACTGAGCTGCAGGATGAGCTGAGCCACTTGCGCAGCCAGATTGCTAAGATAGTGGCAGCTGATGCAGGTAGGAGGCTGTCCTTTTACCCCTGGGTTTTAAACAGGATAGGGATAAGGGAAATGGTGGTCTCTGATTCAGAAAGACTTGGGCCCAGGCCTCAGGTTGTCTTGAAACCCAGCTAACCTAGAGGTCCTTGGATAATTTCATTTTGGGCTGAATGGTTTGACCAAGAACAAATCTTAACCTGTGACCTCAGGCAGATTCCTTCCGTTAGTCATAAAACCCAGTGCCCTTTTCCTGGTGTCTGTAAGATTACATATTCCAAGCAAGCTCGAGGTCCTGAGTTTGATCCTCAGTACAAAAAGAAAAAAAGATTACATATTCCATGAGCCTACAATAGCCTTCTTTTTCAATATAAGCATTTTCCACCATTGCCACTGCAAGACATATCCTTTTCAAGTACTTCCCTTTCCTTGTCCTTTCTATCAGAGATCACATCTGTCCTCCAACTTTCTGCTTGAATTAAGGCAGAAATACTAGAAATAGATGAGAGCCTGCCTTGAATAGAGGCATGGACAGCCAACAAATGGATCTCTCCCAACATGCTCAACTGCTCAAAGTCATAGCTCCCAAACCTTATCAGTTGGTACAGCATAAAAATCCTAGTGTTATCTTTGAAATCGTCATGTTCTTAATTCTCTAATTTGGAAGTTAACTGCATTTAAATTTCCCATTTCTATTTCTTGGCTACTTTTTTTCTGTCATCCAAGAGACAAGCAGAAGTAGTTTATATAAACTCAGAATGTTTCTCAGAAACTTAGAAATTAAAGAAATTCTCTCCATGAAAATTTGGGAACTAGAAGGCCATCAACATTTTAGTTTTGGAGCCAGGGATTTAGCTCAGTGGTTCTGGCATTTGCCTCGAAAGTGCAAGGTCCCAAGTTCGATCCCCGGTACCAAAAACAAAAAACATTTTAATTTTGCTCACAACATTTCTAGATCACTCTGAAGCCATCTTGGTAAACATCCCCAACGGTGTGAGTTAGAATTCCTTCAGGGTGATGCCAGGAAACATTTAAAATTTCACAATTGCTTGGGTAACGAAGCCATTGTCTTCAGAAACCTTGGTGTAGTTGAACTGACAGTTACTGTTGTGACCTTTGAATTTGACCATTGAAAAGGTCACCCAAGCAAGCAGTCAGTTACTTGATTATAAAAATGATTGTTGGCACATCCTATACAATATCTAAATTGAATAATGGTACCAGATAAAATGATAGATGTGATTGAAGCTGTGTATCATCCATTATCATGTGTAATCAAAATATAAAGTCTCAAAAAAAAAATTTCTAGATCATAGATAGCAAGACTCAGAGTCAAAAGTGCTGTTTTAGTTAGAGAAAAGGACAAATGCAGGACTTCCCTCTGTCACTCTTGCTTGTTTAAAACAGGGCTCTTTCTCCATAGCCCACTGTGAAATAGCTTTTAGGAATCAAAAGGCTCTATGGGATGGTTTCTTTGGCCCTCCTGAAACATTGAAAAAGCCCAGTGATCCATCTTCATGAACCCTGTCTGGGAAAGATAGTAGAGGGACTCTACACTGGCTACAGATATCATCCCAGGCTCTCCCAGAATGTCATGTTGTCAGCTCGGGAAATGAGTATGTTCTGTAGACAGTGCTTGTGGGGAGAAGATACTGCTGCTATACTATAGCCCCCATGTCCATCCATGCCTATTGTTTTCTCTTTCAGCTTCGACTTCATTAACGCCAGATTTCTTATCTCCAGGAAGTTCAAATGTCTCTTCTCCCTTACCTTGTTTTGGATCCTCATTCCACTCTACAACTTCCTTTGTCATTAGTGACATCACCGAGGAGACTGAGGTAGAGGTCCCTGAGCTTCCATCAGTCCCCCTGCTTTGTTCTGCCAGCCCTGAATGTTGTAAACCAGAACACAAAGCTACCTGCAGCTCATCAGAAGAGGATGACTGCATCTCTCTGTCCAAGGCCAGCAGCTTTGCAGACATGATGGGCATCTTGAAAGACTTTCACCGGATAAAACAGAGCCAAGATCTGTAAGTACTGACAAGGAGCTCTGGTGATCTATTTAAGTCACCCATGGCCAATGACCTAATATACATAGATAGTAAATTCTCAGAGTAACCGTATGTTACTTTGTTTACAGAGCTTGCCGACTACCTGCTTGCTAGTGCCTGTGCCCCAGTTTGAGCAACACTTTTCAAGTGTTAGGTTAAGTCACCCTAGCCAAATGTTAGACTACTAGGGACTTTATAAGAAGGCTCATGTATTCCAACTTATGTCTCTAGGTGATTTTGGTGGAAGGAGAATTTCATAAAGTTGCGAATTTTACAAATCCAAAACCCTGCAAATGCAGAAATGTGAGGACAAAGCTTTTGAGATTCATAAGTAGTTCCCTAACCTGCCTGCCTATCAGAATTGCTCAGATTTGTTAAAAATACATCTTAAGCAGAATCCCCAAGGAGTACAGTTCTAACCATTTCTGTTGAAATGTGAGGGAATTTGGGGGCCCTGCAATTAAAGCAAGAAACTCATCGAGCAGGAAAGCCCTTGCAGTGTTTCTCCAGGTATAGTCTGAGCAGCTTCCTTGGGGTTCACAGAGGAGCTTGTTCAAATGCAGCTTCCTGGGCATTTCAGTTTGCTATCAAGACCTTAATGGCCTGCACCTAAGTGGTGCAGCTGTATTTGTTAATGCAGGGAAAGAAGTTGTTCTGAGGACCTGGAGGTGAGATCTTTCTCTAGAGTTGATGAAGTTCCTGCTGATGGGAAGATTACATTGTACAGTGATTCATTTTTGTCATCTGGGCCCTACTACCCGCTGAAAACTAGACAAAGGCAAGCAAGCAACTTACTGCTTCTTGGCAGTTACCCTTTAGGGAAGTCACGCATATTTTCTCTGGCCCAAGCCAGGTTAGTCATACTGACCCTCTTGCACCCCCAAATTCAGCTACTGCTGCTTCTTTTGATCTGCCTTGAGCATATTTCTTCTGGTGGCAATGTTTTATAGATTGACTCTCAAACTTCCTTGCCTCTTGAACCAAACTGTATCCAAGATCCTTATTACCAAGCCCCTCCTTCCATTTGTACTCTGAGATCTTTACTCCCTTGTAATAGAGGAGTTGGGACAATGACTAAAAATGGTAACATACCCCAGGGAGCAAAGGTTCAGAAATGTTAATAGAGCAGAGGCAATTCCTTGATTTTCAAGGTTTCAAGGTTTAATAGTCAATCTTGGGTCTCATTTATTGCCTAAAAAGCAATGGTGGTGAAATGGAATTAATATGAGAAAAGGAAAAAATGGAAACAAAGTCTTTATAAATAGGGAGGGGTGGAGGGGCTGAAGGGAGGGCAGGGAAATGGGGAAAAAATAAGAACCAAGATAGATTATGTAAAGGTACAGATTTCCAACGATGAATATCATTATATTGTATACCTAATATGTACATTAAAAAAAAAAAAGCAATGGTGGTGAACCTATGGCACATGTACCATAGCAGGCTGTATTATTGAAAGCTCTAAAAGGTTCGCCATCACTGGCCTAAAGACCATAAAACAATGAGGATGTATGTAGGTTCACTACAAACTTCAGTTATTCTCTACGTATCTAGGACCCACTTATATGTCATATATCAGGTAATTTGACCCTACCCCGACCTAGAGTTGATTTTGTTCCCAAGAGTTTCTTATGATATGAATGCTTTGCTGTTTCTGGATCTCTTATTTTAAAAGTCTGTAGACAGATTAGTAGGTAATCTTCAGCACACCTTTTCCCCAGAACTAATAAAGGTCAGAATCACTGAGAGTCATTAGTCTCTTCCCCTGCAGAACCTACAAGAAAGTGCTAATAAGAAAAGATAGAATCAGAAGGTGGGAACAGAAGCTTAGCCACCAGAGGTCAACTCCAATAAGTTGATGGTCCTTTATTTTGCCACACTTTATAGCCACTTGAGGATGTAGTAAAACATTCTAGTTAAGAGATAAGATCTGGAACCAGGTATCTTGGTTTTAAAGTCTGAATTCACTTAATTTACTTGGTGAGTGGCTAGTGACTCGGCAAACTGCATGTCTTTCTGTGCTTCAGTTATCTATCAGTAAGAGGGTCTTACAAAACACCTACCTCAAAAGATTGTTGTGAGGATTCAGTGAGAGAGTGTGTGCACAGACACAGAGTGCTGCCTGGGTCTAAGCAAGTACTACCTAAATACAAGCTATTGTTTTGTCTCCAGGACCCGGAGTTTAATGAAAGAAGAAGACCCTGCCGTGCTTATCTCTGAGGTCCTAAGGAGGAAGTTTGCTCTGAAGGAAGAAGATATCAGTAGAAAAGGAAACTGACAGCACTCCACCCTGCAAACTCAGTCTCATTCTCCTGGAATTTCTTCAATAGCTGCCTTCCTCAATGCAGATGTTTCTGCCTCTCAGTTAGGAATCTTCTACAGCGGTCTTGCTAAAAAGCTAATGCTTGGAAAGAGCTGGATTATTGTTTCCCATACTTCAAACCTTAGCAGAAGCTAAGGTCTGTGGCTTGAGCTGAGACATTTGTTACAGGTAATTGTGTAGGGTGGCTTAGTTTAGGGGGTAAGATAGATGTTTCTTGTATTCTCTTGCCCCTGTGTGAAAATAGGTCCTAAATGAATGACTGACTTCACTGCATTAGATCTCATAACTTGTCTCATCAGACGCTTTGTGCCCAGCTGTCATTCACTCTCAGCAGCTTCCTTGTAGCAGAGCAGGGCTTTAGGGAAGGGGCTGTGTATATGTACATGTTCACAAGGCAGGGAAGATCTTATGCTGCTCCATCATAAACCTACACCAGTGCCCAGCAGTCACCTTGCCCTGTCTAGTTGTAGAGGTTGGGCTACTGGACCAGCCAATACTTGGGCTGCTACTAGGAGGCCTGGGTGGTTTTTTTCTGAAGCATATTTTATAATACTGTACAACCAAATCTACCCTTCAGGGCCCTGGAGCCTCATCAGTTCCACTGATTAAAAACTTTTTCCTCCATGGACTTCAGTTTAAATCCAGTGGAGAGAAACAGGGAGGGGAAAGAACATTCCATCCTTCTTCCAGGCCCTGGACTGAATTCTGCTTTGGGTTGGGCCAAGGTTTGCATCTACTGCATCATGCATGACTCACATGCCCTTGGGGCCCTTTCTCTGCCGTATGTATACTGTGTGTGTTTGGGTTGAAATACTACCTGGCATTAAATGAAGGATTTGGAGAAATTTTCTTTGTCCATTTCTGAGTTGTGGTCATCCTGCATCCCTTCGGGGTAGAGGATTCCTATGAATTTAAAGTATATGAGCTTGGGCCAGGGATTTAGCTCAGTGGTTCCACCGCCTGTCTCGCAAGCACAAGGACCCGAGTTCCATCCCCGGTACCAAAAAAAACACAAAAAATAAAGTATATGAGCTTTCTTAAATAGGCTTCTGGCTTTCCCTCTTTCCTTTTAAGGTCCTGTCCTTTAACAAGATTTTGACCTATACTCTTAAAAGCAGTTATTTGCAAGTTTCTCCCCTGGAGGTTGTTTAAGCCTTGGGTACCATTAACTGTAACATGTGCTTGCTTCGGCAGCACATATACCATAACTGCAACGTGACAAATTGCACCTGTTGGATGATGCCATGGATAGAACAGAGGCCAAATTAGACTCCTGTGCAGGTCAGAACCCTGACACAATATGTATTATTAAAAAGTTGCTCTTTCAAAAATAAAATTGGTGGGCTAGGAATTTAGCTCAGTGGTGCTGCTGCCTGCCTCGCAAGCACAAGGTCCTGAGTTCAATCCCCAGTACCAAAAATAAAATAAAATAAAATTGGTAATGTTCTAATTACCACCAGAACCAGCATTACAAACATTAACATGTTTTACAAAGGGGATTTCTTCCCAGAAGGAGGGTAGGGTTCCTTATGACCTTATGAAGGAAAACCTATCAGTCACATCTAGATTGTTTTATTGCTCAGGCTTTTTTGGTTTTTTTGGTACTGGGGATCAAACTCAGGACCTTGTGCTTGCCAGGCAGGTGCTGTGCTGCTGATGGTCAGGCTTTTTAAGGGAAGGATATTTAAACAAATTGTATAAGTTTAAAATGCTGTACAGTTACCACAAAAATAAAATAACAAAAAAATGAGGCTGTCACTATTCTCCCTTTGTTTCCTCTCCCAACCCTACCTCCACACACCTGGGTTGGGGAATTTGCCTTATCTCTCAAAATGGCATGAGGAATAATGATTCCAAGCTTACGCAAGTGGGTAAAATTTCAGCCAAAGATGAAGAGGAGCAAGGACCCAGCCAGGCATCTGAAAAGGCAGAGGGGTCTCTACACAGGCTGAATAATGGACTATTCAATAGAAGGACAAGTTCATGCCCTGCCTCCTCAGTGCCCATCACAGACTCATTCGAGGAATTCACCAGCCACCTTCCTGAGGGAAAAGCATGATTCCAATCACATTGTCTCAACCAGTGGCAACTGCCTGCTTTATTTACAAAGTGCTTGATATTGACAGCTTAAGCCTATGCTGCCTTCCCACCTCAACCCCCCACCTCCACCTAAAAGATATTTTCTTACATCTCTACCATTTCAAGATGCTTTCAGAAACCAAACCCTCATATAAACATTCAAAATTGGTGCCTGATAACTTGATTACCTTCAGAGTCCTGAGTAAGGAGCAAATCAGGCTGCAGATTTAGCTGAGTGTGCCCAGCCTGGGATTCAGCCCGAGGGCTGGTTGGAAAATGCCCTAGGCCCTGATGCCAGGTGTTGCTTACATCTTGGAAAGGAGCTCTCCTGTGGGCAATGACTCTCTGGCCCTGAGAATCTTCAGTGAAAAGCTGACTCCAGGATTCTTTGTCATTCTTTTCACTATCCCAAGAAAACACAGAAACAGGACAACGGTTTTGTTTTACTGACTCTGTGTTTTCTCTACTCCAGGATTCCCTGAAAGTTTGGAGGTGTACCGAACGCTGCCTGTTTTCTTTGACAGACACTTTCCTTTCTGATTTAGCTTTGTCCAAGAGCTGATGGCATTTGCCCCCAGGTGGTCTGATGTGTCTCTCCATGCCCTGATAGTTCTTCTCAGATCCATAAAACCATTCCTTTTTCCTGGAAGAATCCTTTTGGTCCAGCAAACAAGAAAAAGCCAGTGAGGCTTTACTGTCTCCAGCACAGACTAGGGAATTAGGTTGAGGCATAGTCAAAAATGGGCTTCTCACATTGTAGTGGCCAGAAGTCTTGTGGGACCAAGGAGAAAGTCCAGTTTCCTGGATGTCTTCAGGGGTTGACATGGCCAGAGGGGGTGCTATGCAGTCATCTTCCGAGTCCCGGATCAAACAGTCAAGCTGAGTTGTGTCTGTCTTGGACTCTTTGTTAATTTGACTTTCTGTATGAGATGAAACACTGCTCTGGTTACCAACATCTGTCATTCCTAGTAAAATAGGAGTGGGCAAATATTATAATGTATGAAAGTAGTTGGCTTTTTCTAAAATCAGTACTAGCTAATATTACTACCTAGGGCAAGATTACTTAAGATTCTTCAAATAACTTTGTAGCTGATCTTCCTGCTTTCAATCTCACTATTCTTTCCTGAATGTTCTTTCTAAAACATAGATCTGGGCCAGGGATTTAGCTCAGTGGTTCCGCCGCCTGCCTTGCAAGTGCAAGGTCCTGAGTTTGATCCCTGGTACCAAAAAACAAACAAACAAACAAAAAACCATAGATCTTATTTTCCCCTAATAAAAATACTTTATATGGATGCTTCCCATGACCTACCTCTACCTAATAAAGTCAAACACAATCAGACTACAGCCTACTTTTCCAGCTCACTTTTCATTTATGTTGTTTAACATGGGGCATATCAGTTTTGTTTTTGTTTTTTATTTACTGTAGTTTCTACTAAATAATGATCTTGGCCAAATATGTATTCCTAAATATTTTCCTTTTTAAAAATACTCAATACACACTAGTTTGTAAGGTCTCAAAGATCACATTGACTATACAACTCTGAAACCTTCTAGTTACAGTATGAAGAACACAGGTTCCCAACTCCTCAAATATTTCATAGGAAAGGGAATGAAGACATCATTAGGATGCCAAGGCAACCAGAAAAGACAATAATTTGAAAACAACTACTAGTCTGGCCTGCCTATTTTATCACGTATGGAATAGACCCTGTTCTGTTTGGGTTTTTTTTGGTACCGGGGATCGAACTCAGGTCTTTGCACTTGCACCACAGGCAGTGAAACCACTGAGCTAAATCCCCGGCCCACCCTGTTCTGTCTTAAGAATGAATGACGTGGGCCGGGGATTTAGCTCAGTGGCAAGCGCAAGGACCTGAGTTCAATCCCCGGTACCAAAAAAAAAAGAATGAATGACATGGGCTTCTTATTCCACCCAAATCAAGATCTAATTACAAAGAAACAATGATTAATTTCCTCTTCCCTTCAACAAGAATTATACTGCAGAAACTGTTCTGTGGGGGTTCTCAATTTTGCCTAAGAATTCAGTATTAGATGATAAAATATACCAGAATTTGTAAATGGGAAAAGTGTTTTTGAAAAAATGCCCTGTTATGTAAAGCAAAGATTGTTTATGTTTTATTTGAGGAAGGGATAGCGCACTCTGAAGGTTTATACAAAGCAAGCCTGAGTCACAGAGTTGGAACACTCCTCCCAATGCCCCCCATCTGGCAGGAAGCTCTAGCCTCCTCTGAGACAGCTCCCAAATACACTTTGCCTCACTGCTTCCTCAGCAAATAGAAATATTTAGTACTAGACTGAGTGAAACAACTAGAAAAGTATGTTTGTAAAAACGTGTATATTGCTTTCCAAAAAGCAATGACTTCTTGTGCTTTTATTACACAAGAGGTCAGCTAAGTTTAACAATAGAATAGTTTCACTATATCTCGTAAATGTTCCAACATGAAGAAATGAGCACATTCCTTTTTGCTCCCGGGTTAATGAAGTACTCCCAGGTGGGTCACCATACCTGTCTTCAAAGTAAAGGAAGCAATGCTGGTCTGCTTAATGCCTGCAGATGGAATTCTTCTTTGAGTGAAAGAAACAGGCTTTCTCTCTCGAGGAAGGAGTGTTAGCATTTTGGTTCCTGGTTTAATTAAATGTGTCTGAGACGGGAGAAAAAGAATAAGAGAACCTATTAATATTAAAAAATATGCCAGACAGGAGAGATTCAATAAACACCAGTGACAAAACCACCCTGGACACTCTGGGCACCGCTTACATCCTATTGTTTCTCTGGGTGAGATGTGCTGGACATCATCTTCCAACATTTTCTACCATTCTGATAGTTTTTCTAAGGAATCACCTATTCCAGCCACAGCCTAATCTTTGTACTTTCCAAGAGAAATCAATCAAGCTGACTAAACAAACATGATTTGTTAAAAGGGGTCCAGAAATGATGTGTTTTAGATTTAAGGATAATGTGCTTTGTTTTGTGTTTTGAAAGACAGGGTCTCATTAAGCTGCCCAGGCTGGTCTCAAACTCCTAAGCTCAAGCAAGTCTCCTACCTTGGCCCACGAAGTAGCTGAAACTAAAGGTGTGCACTATGCTGAACTTATTAATTAATGATTCTACATCAACAGCAGTTGATTCATTTTCAGTAGTTCTGTACAAGTTGCTTAATTTCTCTGTCTCATTCTCAGGTATGAAATGGTGATAATAAAAGTTTTATCAAAAAAAAAAAAAAGTTTTACCCCATAGGGCAGTTATGAAAACTTAAATGAAAGAGTCACACAGTTCCTGGCACACAGAAAGTACTCTAGCACAGCTGGCTGAAGGACAGGAGGAGAAGTGAAGCAGCACCAGTTTTGCCACACCTGGATCTCTTTTTATACTAGAAGTGAGCAAGGAGGGTTTGGGAAGTCAGTTTTGTCAACTGTGACTAACCTCATCCTTATTTACTGTAATTTGTTTTTATTTCCATTTGCTTGTTTTGGAATGCCTGAAAAGTAGGGAGAGTAGAGGATTTCGATTTGGCTATAACTGCCAAAGAAGAAATGGGATTTGTCAATATTCATACAGCAAGTTGGAGGCAAACTGAAACTTGAACCCAAATAAGGCTGACTTCATTTCATTTTTACATTTGGAAACTAAGCTGTGTGGTTAAAAGAAGAAGGAAATCTTGGGCCAGGATTTAGCTCAGTGGTTCCGCCACCTGCCTCACAAGCACAAGGTCCCGAGTTCGATCCCCCATACCAAAAAAAAAAAGGAAATCCTGTATGTAAAACTCATATTTCAACTTCTTGTAGTACTGGCAGGGAACTGTCCCTTCTACCACACACAACTAGCTAGAAAAGTGGATCAAAGATACATTTTCGGGGGGGAGGACAGGACCGGGGATTGAACTCAGGACCTCGCATTCGCCAGGTGGGCGCTATGCCACTGAGCTAAATCCTGGACCCAAAGATACATTTTTTTAAAAAGATTTTAAAACAGTGGACAACAAACAACAGACAATAATTTGTGATTCCTGAGAAAAGAGAAACAAGTGAGGTAAGCCCTGTGTTCAGCCTAGCTTTCTGCCTGGAAGCACTTTCCAGGCCAGCGCATGCGGAAGCAGAGCATTGCAGTCTTGATGAATTGAGTAGATTGAGATTGAGATTTGGGAAAGCTAAGGTAGCTCAGAAATAGGCACTCAGATCCCTTCAATCACTGAATACTACGGCTATACGTGTAAGGCGAAACACCTCGAGGCCAGGCAAAGAAGACTATGCAAGCTGGAACTGCAAGTTAAAACAATACAGAGCTAATACAAGGCTGAGACATGAGGTCCCACCGTCTAGAACAGAGATGACCTTGAACACCAGGGGCACTCAATCAAGCTGTCAGAACAATCATCCCTCAGTAGTATGGCTAAACTAGCCTTAGAGCAAAAACTTTTACAAACTTGCCTTAGCAAAGCTTTTTTAAAAGAACATTTTGAAAATATCAAGCTGATTAGCAAATTTCAACTTTCAGTATATTTAAAGAAAACCAAGTCCAGGCACTCAGCAACATGGCATTCATGGGGTCTTAGCATGCAATAAAAAATTGCCAAACAAGAAACAGAAAAAATACCTGTAATTAGGGTAGACGGGAGTCAGTTAATATAAGCAGATTCCAACAACATCAGGGATAAAACAGAATTAGCAAACAAGTTCATAGTTAAAATAGTTACTATGAATATGCTCAAGGATTTTAAAGGGAAAAAAATGAACCTAAGGAGAAAAGTAAAGAAAATTTACTACATAGGCTTAAGAACAGAGACTATTTAGGGAGGATAAAAAATATTGCACCTGAAGACAGCAATGCAAACTATCTATCCAAAGTGAAGCAGAGAGAGAACCAGAAAAAAAGTCAAGAACCGGGGATTTAGCTTAGTGGTTCCACCACCTGCCTCATAAGTGCAAGGTCCCGAGTTCGATCCCCGGTACCAAAACAAAGTCAAAATCTATGAGAGCAAAAAGATACATATAATCACAGTCTCAAAAAATGATTAGAAGTGGACAGAAAATATACTTGAGTAGCCAAAAATTTTTCCAAATATGAAAACTATAAACAACTGTAACAGATTATTTTTTTCAAAAATGACCAATACCAGATTTCCTACTGGACATATTCTTTTTATAATCTATTATACTTGTCTCATCAAGTGGAGAAATCCATAGTCTCTCACCTTGAACTTGGGAAGAACCTGGAGACTAGTTTGACTAATACAGTATGATGAAAGTAACGCTACATGATTTCCAAAACTAGGTTGTAAATGTCATGTGCTTGTCTTGCTGTCTTGAGATGCTCACTCACAGGACCTGGACCACATATTATGAGGAAGCCAAGCTGGAACATAGCTCTTTAAATTTTATGGGACCCAGATCACAGATATGTGAAATAATGTGAATAATATTGAAGTATCTGTATGCTAGGTACTGAGAATACAGTGAACAAAACAGACTGTTTCTGCCCTGGTAAAGTTTATAGTTTAAGAGAGAAAACAGACAAGCTATTAATAAATAGTTAAAGTATTACATGTATGCTTAGTCCTGTAAGAAAACTTTAGAAAACTATAGGTAACTAGAAAATAAGACCTCAATTGGCAGAATATCTGAAAATAAAGCTTTTCACCAAGTTAGTCATACTTAGCAGGAGCTGAAGTGTCTTTCCTTAAGTCAAAGTGATGTCAGAAGTGATACTGTTCTGAAGGGAAGGGGAAAGGGAAGAAGGGAAAGGAAAAATTATAAGAAAAGAAAAAAAAATGGAAACAAAATCTATGTAAATAGGGAAGGGTGGAGGGGGTGAAGGGCGCACAGGTAATGGGGAAAAAAAATAAGAACTAAGATACATCATGTACAGGTACAAGCACCCAATGATAAATGTAAATGTATTATATACCTAAAATGTATCAATAAAAGAATTAAAAAAAAAAGTGATACTGTCTCAGTTCTAACTCAGAACACCTATGGGTTCAGGGATTTATCTCAGTGGAATGTTGAGATTCTGAGTGAGAACAGATCACCTGGAACAGAGAGGGACTCAGGTACAAAGTCCTTTGGGTGATCATCCCTTCCTCAATGTAAAGCAGCCTCTGTGTGTACTTTACAGAGTGTAAGAAAGAAACCCTGCATAACAGACATAGCATTCCTTGAGGACCAAAACCCTTGATAAGCACTAACCTAGGTTTAACAATTGTAAACCCTGTAAGAATGCCCCTAAGAGAATCTAACTTTGAGAAACACATTCTTTCCAAGCCAGATTCTCCAGTTCTTTGGTGTATCACATGCATGGTCCCATCAAGTTTTCTTTCATAAGGGTAGAAGGGAAAACCTGTCCCTGCCCCTGTCATGGCGTTCTTATGAAGAGTGCCACTTTTGAGGGGGCAGGGCTGGCTGCAGGTCACACTTTTGGACCATTTCTTTTTTTCTTTTCCCCTAGTACCAGGGCTCAAACTCAAGACCTTGTGTTTACAAGGCAGGCACAGTGCCACTGCGCTAAATCCCCGGCCCTGGACCATTTCTTACGTTTCACAACTCTATTATCAAAATGTTCTCATGCTTCTGCAGTACTGTACTTAAATTCAGTTTCACCTTCATTTTATCTTTATCTCCTTATAATTTACAAGTTTGGGTCAAAGTTTTTCTTTCAAGCCAATTTAATTTCCTTTTTTAATGATTCATTATGGTCTTCAAGATTAATACATAATTTGCACTTGATCTTGGCCAAAAGGCAAGCAGTGATGAGATTAGTATAGAACTTGATTCAGCTTCCTTTTTTGCATAATGGGTCTTGAATTTGTGTATGAAGTCACATTTTCCACACATACTGACAGGGCTTGAAAACAAAGTGCTATTTACCGGTTTTTCCCATGCCACCTTGTCCTTTATGCTTCACAAGGCTCATTCTCTTTCCACTTCTAGAATCACTGACAGCATCACCAGAGAGTCTCCTCTTGCTTTTTAGTTCCTCACAGCACTAATATGATGACATTTGGGATGAAAATCGAATCAGCACTGCCATGACTCATCAAGTTAGGTGGAAAGGATGAGCTACATAAGCATGCCCAGAGGACTGTTCAAGGAGTCTGACAAGAAAGGCTGTCAGGATTATCATCATTGAGCATCTCCTAAATCACCTTTGTTGAAGTAGTAACAAAGTACAGTAATTAGCCTCACAAGGGTATTGTAGCCATCATAACATCATAGTACATTATTCACATATTTGTGTTGAAGTTGGTATAAACAGTATAGTACAAAAGTACAGTGTAAAAGAATATTATAAAATATTGCTTATCATTAGGTATTATGCTATACATAATTGTAAAGTTTAAAACACCTTATAATAATAAACAATTACAAAAAATAAAAATAAAATAATTTAAAAAATAATAAATAACTACATTACTGGTTTATGTATTTACTATACTTTTTATTGTTATTGTACTCCTACTCAAAAAAGTCTATTGTAAAACAGTATACCTGGGGCTGGGGATTTAGCTCAGTGGTTCCACCGCCTGCCTCGCAAGCACAAGGACCTGAGTTCGATCCCCGGTACCAAAAAGAAAAAAAAAAACAGCATACCTGGTTACAGTAGCAGACACCTAACACATCTTGTGTTTACCTGTTTCTAGATTGCATCAAGAGACCACACACACACACACACAAAAGAGGCCACACAGAGTGACAGACCTACACCACTTAGGTTTGTGTGCATACACTCTTATTATATTCACAAAATGACTCAGAGCATATACCTGTCAGTAAGTGACTATGGCTGAATTAATTCAAACCTTGCTTCAAAACTCTCCAAACTTACAGAACTCTTCTGAACTTGCCATTTATCACCCAACAAAATCCAGAATCAATTTTTTTTTTTTTTTTTTGGTACCAGGGATCAAACTCGGGACCTTGGGCTTGCAAGGCAGGCGCCAGAACGACTGAGCTAAATCCCTGGCCCCAGAATCAATATTTGATTCATATAATTTTTTATTTTTCACATAACTTAATATAGCTTAATAGGTACTAGAGTCAATAAATGGTTTTAGGGCCGGGGATTTAGCTCAGTGGTTCTGCTGCCTGCCTCACAAGTGCAAGGACCTGAGTTCTAGCCCTGTACCAAAAAAAATAAAAATAAAAATAAATAAAATAAATAAACGGTTTTAGAAGGTAGCTATACAAGGACAGATTTCATTTTCCAATTTATATATACAGTACCTACTCATTACATTATATGTCCACAAATCTGTCAGAAAACAAAGGTTAAAAAAAAAGAAAACAAAGGTTCTTCTTATACTGTGACAAAGCTAAGCTAAGCTTCTGTCACTCTTAAATAATACATAAGGTCTAGACCACAATTGGGGATGGAAGGGTACATTTACTGAGTATTGTGAAGATTTTCATTCCAACTAATCTAACAAGAGAAGACTATTACAAGACTCTTCTCTAGAACCACCTGCCACTGATTTTTCACCTAAACCGAACAAAAACTCCAAAGAGAGAAAAGTAAATTATCTTCCAGCTATCACAACTCCTAGAGACCTGATTTATCTATACCGACTAACATTAGCAAGTCTCATAAAAGAGTGCTCCCTGCCAATGAGATTTTTATTACTTTTTAAAAACATGTCAGAAGTCATTGTAGTACAATGAATGTATAGTTGATTATAACTATAATACATGATGTCAGAGGTCTTTGTAGTAATCAGATCTGAAGACACAAAAGGTTTAAAAGACAAGACACTAAGAGTAGCAGATAACTGGACCACAGACATAGCCTGAAAAACATTTAAGAGACACTCCCAACCCCAAGCCCATTTGGGCCCTTCTTAAGGATAAAAATGCTTAAGATATGTAATTATAGAGACAAATAATCAATGAAAAAATGAGTAATTTTCAACTTCTATTATCTGAGATTAGGCCCTTGTTCAAACATGAACAATATCTTCCAAATTCTTCTAGTTAAACTTTCAAGGTACCATGTACAACCACTTTTGAATTAATCTTAGAAAGAACTCCCATTACATCAAGTGCTTCCACTAATTTCCAACAACATGATACTGTTTTACCCTTCTAATTTAACCTTCAATTCCCCTAAAATGCCCTACACTTTAGTCAAATTGTATTACTTGCTATGTAGTAAAGAATCTTACCCAAAGAGAGATCTTGGCCTTTTGCTATCAGCTCCTGAAAGGTATTCTCTAAGTCACTAAAATATACTTCTTCATAGAATCTTGTTTTGTTTTTTAACCTGGAGGCCTTTGGGTCATACCATATTGTCTATGCTAACAAAGTGAGTTGCGGTGTGGGTTTGGGGATATGCAGTTTCAGCTTTACCTCCACAGGGGCTGGAAACTAAGGTCAGCCATACAGGTAGGTCCACCATGTCTATGTGACTAAACCCCAGTGAAAACTTGGGACACTGAAGATGCAGTGAATTTCTATGATTAGTACTACTCTGTGTGTATATTATTACACACTGTTGCTAAAAGCAGAGTTGTCCAGTACTTCACTGTAGAGAGTACTGAAAGTTTCAGGCTTGGAGTTCTAGATTCTGCCCTATGTGCCCCCCAATGGCTTTTATCTGTACCACTTTGCTGATAAACTGTAACCAAGAACATGACAGCTTTTAGTCAATTATGTGTCTTTCTAGTGAATCACCAAACCTCAGAGTGGTTGGGGGAGGGGGGATACAAACCTGCAGTTGATATCAGAACCAAGGGTGGTCTTGGGGACCTCCCTCACTTTCACCTTCTGTTTCTTTAATATGCCTTATATTTCCATCTCTGTAGCACAATTCATATTGTTTCTGGAATGTTCACTCACCCTCATTGCTTTACAACAAAATGTGACTCTTGCTTTAAGGTCTACCTCAAAATGCCACCTCTTTAACAAAGGAGACAAAAGACCTCTACACTGAAAACTACAGCACTTTGAAAAAAGAGATCAAAGAGTATACAAGAAAATGGAAAGAAGGGCTGGGGATTTAGCTCAGTGGTTCCGCTGCCTGCCTCGCAAGCACAAGGGTCTGAGTTCGATCCCCGGTACCAAAAAATAAAAATAAAAAATAAAAAAAAGAAAATGGAAAGATAGCCCCTGTTCCTGGGTGGGAAGAACCAATATAGTGAAAATGGCCATACTTCCAAACCTGCTATACAGATTCAATGCAATCCCAATTGAAATCCCAACAGTATATTTCGCAGAACTAAAGAAAACAATCCAAAAATTCATTTGGAACCAGAAGAGGCCTAGAATAGCAAAAGCAATTATAGGCAACAGAGACATGACAGGGGGTATCACAATCCCCAACTTGAAACTATACTACAAAGCCACTGTGATAAAAACAGCATGGTACTGGCAAAGAAACAGACCTGAGGATCACTGGAATAGATCAGAAGATGCAGAAACAACTCCAGACATACTCAGCTACCTCATCTTTCACAATGGAGCCAACCATCCTCACTGCAGGAAAGACAGCATCTTTAATAAATGGTGTTGGAAAAACTGGATTTCAACCTGGCAAAGATTAAAACTAGGCATGTCTTGAACTATGTAGCCTAGGTTAGCCTCAAACTTGCAGTGATCCTCCTGCCTCAGCCTCCCAAGTGCTGGGATTACAGGCATGGGCCACCATGCCCAGCTCTATTTAATACTTTTAAAATCTGTTTTCATAAAAGATATTGGCCCATAGTTTTCTTGTGATGCCTTGGTCTGGTTTTGGTACCAGGGTAACACTAGACTCTGAATTGGGAAGTATCCTCCCCTCTTCTGTTTTTTTGGAAAGAGTTTGTGTAGGGTTGGTTTTAATGCTTTAAATATTTGGTGGAATTCACCAGTTAAGCTATCTGGACCTGCTTGCTCTCTTCTTTGCAGGAAGTTTAAAAGCTACTCTCTGTTAGAGATCTATTTAGATTGTTTCTCCTCAAATTAATTTTAGTAACCTATAACTTTCTAAGAATTTGCCCATTTCTGGGCCGGGGATTTAGCTCAGTGGTTCCGTCGCCTGCCTCACAAGCACAAGGTCCTGAGTTCAATCCCCGGTACCAAAAAGAATTTGCCCATTTCACCTAAATCATCTCAATTTGTTAGAATGTAATTGCTTAAATTGGGCATGATGGCACACACCTAAAATCCTAGAACTCTGGGAGGCTAAGGCAGAAGGACCATAAGTTTGAGCCCAGCTCGTACAACTTAGTGAGATCCTGTCTCAAAATTAAAAATAAAAAAGGACTGGGGATGTAGCTCAGTGTGAAGGCCTGGGTTCAATCATCAGTAAAAAGAAAAGGAAAAAAAAAAAGGTTTATAGTAGCTTATTTCTACAAGGTCAGTAGTGATATTTTTCTTTCATTACTAATTTTAGCAATTTGACTCTTCTTTTATTATTGGTCAGTCTATCAAAGGTTTGTCAAGTTTGGTGATCTTTTTCAAAGAACCAACCTGTAATCTCATTTTTTTTCCCTAGCCTTTATTACAGTTACTTTCACATTAGTTTTAGTGTTTCCTTCCATGTTTGCTTTGGGTTTAGTTTGCACTTTTTCTAGTTTGTTAAGATGGAAGAGTAGGTTATTGAGATTCTTCTTTTTAATGTGTTTACAGCCATAAATATCCCTCCAACAACAGTTAGCTGCATCCCATAAATTTTGGTACACTGTGTTTTGCTTTCTTTTACCTCAAAGTCCTTTCTAATTTTTCTTGATTTCTTCTTTGACTTCCTCTCATTATTTACAGTGTGTTAATTTCAACATTCTTGTGCATTTTCCATTGTTCCTTGTTTTTCACTTCTAGCTTCATTCTCTTATGGATGGAGAATATAACTTACATGGTTTCAATCTTTCTAAATTTATTGAGATTTGTTTTACAGCCTAGAATTCATAGGGAATTCTCCATGTATAATTGAGAAGATTGTGCATTCTGCTATTGCTAAGTGGACTGTTCTGTAGTATGTCTGGTTAAGTCTACTTGGTTTTGGGTTTGTTTCTT